CCTCCCAGCTGCCAGCTGTCCCCATCACCCTCACCTGCAGGTAGACGCATCCTTCACCAGACACCTCCACGCTGTACTCCCCTGGCACCTGGGGAAGGGGCAGGCGCTGGAGCAACAGCCGGTTGCTGGGATCCACTTGGAAGTCTTGCTGGAAGTCCCCTCCAGATCTCAGAGCCACTTTGGAAGCTGCCCCGCTCCTGGCATAGGTGGCAGCTCCATACAGGGACAAGGCTTGGAGAGCCACCACTGTGTCCTGAAAGAGAGGAGTCTCAGCATCCCAGCAAGGGATGCAATTAGCCTCGCCACAGCCTGTCCTCCTACAGCCTGCCCTTTCTGCCAGCTGGCTCCCTCCCCTCCATCCTCACTTACTCCAGTATTAAGGAGAAAAGACACAGGGAAAGAGCAGCTTCAGCATATTTCCCTTGCCAGGGGCACTCCCTGACAGATTTGTCTGTAGCCTCTCAGGAACTTGGCAACCATGGGAGGCACTGCATGGATCTGTTGCAGGGCTACAGTTCCCACCTTCCTGACCAAACTTCCTGTGCTCCCTCCTGGCTCTCCAACAATTCCTGTCTTCTGACCTGGATGTGTGAGGTGGCCAGAAGGAAGCAGCTCACCTGGGTAGAGGAGAAGCCTCCATTGGGATTCTGCTGGCTGCTGATCCACTTAGCAATAAGGGATGCAAATGCCAGCTCCTCCTGGGCAGGGGCTGGCTGCGAGGAGAGGTGAGCCAGGAGCACGTAGGCCGTCATCTCCACTTCCGCAGAGGGAGCTCGGTAGCGATGGAACGGGAGATCAGCCTCGGGCTCCTTCCCTGGCCGCTGCCAGTGCACAGAGCCATCTTCACAGAAGGCAGGGAGAGAGACAACAGGCAGCTGTTACTAGTAAATCTTGCAAGGGACTTCCTGACCTGCTGCCTGATCCAGCTGGGAGGACAGAGCCTCCAGGATGGGTCTGACATGCAGGGCTAATTGGGAAGGGTCAGGTTTACACATTTTGCAGGTTTACAATGAGTGTGAGAATGCTGAGCCTCAGGCCTAGACACCACTTTGTCCTCCACGTTCACATTCATGGGCTACAGTCCACTGCTTGGCCAAACCCACTGTCCATCCTGACTTAGCCAGGTTAGTCCCAAGTGATTTCAGGATTTCCCCTGATGACTCAGAACTTGTGCTGCAGCCTCCAAAATGCCCTGTATGCTCATTTTCTCTCTCAGCACACCCATCTCTTCTCTGACTGACATGCCTTATGCTGTGCAAGGTCACCTTTGTTCTGTGTTGAACCCATGCCCTGGAAGCAAGGAAGGAATATCCCTGGGCATCACTAAGCCTTTGCTAAGCAGTGCCTGGTGTGGCAAGAGGAGCTGGCTGAGGAGAGATGGGAGCAGAGCCACCCAGGAGCTCAGCACCAAGGCATGGTGCCTGGTGCTTCCTGGTGAGCTCCCTGGGAGCAGAGAAGAAGGACTGGGCCCTGAGAGGGACTTCTCAGAAAAGTAATCCCTTTGCACAAGTCTATCCTCTCCCTCCACCTCTCCCTACCCACAGAGGCCAGGGCCTGCAGCCACTGCCCCACCAACAAAAGCCATTCTAGCAAGGGAAGGTGTCAGGCTCACCAGGAACACTCACCTTTTCTCACAGCTTCCTTTTCAAGTGAGTCAAGCAATGCCTTCCGCTTCTCCCTGTTCCCTGCCAGGGCAAAGGCGTATGCCAGCAGTGCCTTGGTGTACACATGGTTTTCTTTCTGATTTGCTGCTGTTTCCAGGCAGAACAGAGCATTCCGCACCACTGAGTGCTGGAAGGAGAGAGAGACTGAGCTAGAGGTGATCATACTGAGCTCCATCTTGGAACAATAGGAATGGGGATGGTACCTGTGGACCCTCAGCATCACACTCTCTGTCCTTACAAAGATTTTACCATTATGTGTCCCTTTGCTCCCGGCCTAATAATTCCTAGAGCAAACGGACAGCCAAAGGCTGTTACGTATCTTGAATCTACTTTTCTTTATCCTGTCTTGTTGTAATGGTTTTTCCCAGTTTGATTTGAAGGCTGTGAAAGAGGGCACTAAGTTTTCTTCCTTGAGAAGAATTACTGGCATGGTTGTGTACTGGGGTAAGAGGAGCTCTCTAAAATACTTCTTTGCTTTAGGTATACTGAATACTTGCTTTCCTCCTCCAGCTATCACCCTGAGACTGTTCTGTGCTTTCACCCTCTGCTCTATCCTTTTGTTTTTGTTTGTTTTCCCTTTTCCAGGGCATTTTCAAAAAAATTCACTTACTGAAAATAATATAGATTCTAGTTTGCTGGTGGTTTCTATCCCTGCACAAGAGAAAAAAAAAAGTGTATTTTTTTGTATTTTCTGGAAATTTTTTGTGATGTTCACGTTAGCAATGCATGTATTGATTTAAGAATACAATCACTACAGCAAAGTAAAATGTAGCTACTTTACATGCTGTTATGACTTACAAACACTGTTACACCACAGCCTTTCAGCAAGACACAACTACTCATTTGTGATGGGAAAGCTGCTGTAAAATTGAAAAAGTAGCTCTGCAGGGAGCGCATGCCATGACCTGAAAGCTAACAGCACATTTATGGCTTAATAAAGGGTATAGAAAGAAAAGGCATATTTTTCTGTTGCTCTGTGCTTTGAATTTCATTGTGTGTGTACTGGAAGATGAAATCTTTTGTGATCCCCTTTGGAGAAGCAGTTCAGCTGCTTTTAAGAAAACAAAGAATAATACCAAAATTGATTGTCTATGTGCCTACTACTGTTTTTAAGGTAAATGTTGGGGATGAGTGCAGTCTAATGACAGGATGTGACAGTAGACACATATACAAAGGACAGTGCTGTTAAGGTTGTTATCAGGTTTTAATGTGGCTTATTTTACTTATAGAAATACTCTGTATGAGCCTTAATTACTTAAGGACTATGCTAATATTAGTTCATACATCTTAACTTGAAATGCCCCCATATCCCACTCAGATTGTGGTAAACCCCTTCCTTCACATTCAGTGACAGTTTTGGACTCAGGAAGCTGGAAAACATCCTCATTAGCCAATACGGTTCTGCATAAGAGCTTGGTTTCTAAACACAACACATAACAAAGAAAGAATGCTCTTCTAGTGAAGTTAGAACCATCCATGTTGCCTTAATGACAAAATAATTCCTTCTGCTTGTTCTTGCTACACAGGAAAAAACTTTGGACACAGAACATTCCCTGCTACATTTGGAGCAGAGGGATTGCAACAGCCTGGCAACCACACTGGCTCAGCAATCCTTCTGCTGTGATTCACACCCCAGTTTTACCTGCACCACCACCTTGTCTCAAAGTGAGGGGATCAGAATGACAAAACCCACACTGCTCTTAATTAGGCCTTAGGCTTTCCACAGAGTGCCACGATGGTATTCCCTGTAGGTATACCTTATTCTTCAAGCCCTAAGGATGGGGATTTCCCACAAAACCATCCAGAAGAAGTAGAGAAAATGACAATGAATGCCTGAATGTGCCATCCTTTTATACAGAGCTGTTTTTATCTCTGCCCAATAGGCCCAAGAGTGGTTCAAAAGGATTGTACTATTCTAAGAAACAAAAGGAGATTTCTGTGGGTGTAGAAAACCTATTTGGCATACTTCAGAGAATTAAATATTATTTAACTCATTGTCAATCCAAGCTGTATGGAGCAAATCCATTATCGTCTACAAAAGAACTGAGAAGACTGTTAAGTAAAATGTGTATATAGGATGGGACAGGTGAGGAAAATGGAGGAAGATGTTCCTTCAGTCTAGGCTTAAATGGACAGACTATTCAGACAGGATTTCTTCTTTCCAAAGGTAAAAGAATCTGATAATCTGGGCGTGGGGACACTAGCAGGGCAGATTAGTACCATCTGTGGCTCAGGCTGGGGTGCAGACACGTACGGTTACAGGCAGAGGAATCTCCAGCAGTGCAATAGTGATGTAGGCTGCCAGTGTGACCTCATCATTCACTCCACCCTGCAGGGAAACACAAAAGTACTTGTTGATCCCACACAGCACCACTGGCTTCTCCCTGTGATACATACCTACATCTTGCAAGAACAAATTCTCCCTGGATTCCTTTTCATGCTGAGTCCTTCAGAAGATGGTGCTGACTTCTTCCTGCTTCTGTCATAGCCCACATATATAACTCCTCCCTCCTTCCCACACCCCAAGTGCTGAAATAACTCTGTTGATGCCAGAGTGACTTATGGTCAAGTTCCAGCCTGACCAAGCCCATGTGGAGCCAACCAGGCAGACTTGTTATTACCTTCATGGCATTGTTCAGGAGCGTCCCAGAACTGCGGAAACAGCCATTCTCCTTCTGCTTCTGAGTAAGCCAGTTCAAAGCATCCTGGATGTGCTTCTCCTCTATGAAGATGTGATGCTGGGCCTGGGCAAAGGACTTGAGGACAAAGGCTGTGAGCCTGAAAGTGATACAGGGAACCAAGACAATCTGAGTAAGCCGTGTATCCATCAGAGGTCATAGGGCCCATTTAACTTCATCTCCACCTCCATTCCAAACCCCACAGTGACCAAGTACAAGAGAACACTAAGGAATAAGAGGGCATGAAAAACAGAAACAAAAAGCCAGAGGTACTGAAGTCTTACCAGGTATTTCCAACTTGCCCATAACGTGGCCCAAAGGTGCTATAAGAACCATCCCGGTGTTTGTACCTCAATTGCCTTTGATACCCTAAAATGAAGAGTGAAAATATATTTCAGTTGCCACCCAGTATATTTCAGTGCTTTTCAAGGAGCCATGCAAGGGAAATGCAGTAAAAACAGGACACACTATCCCCCTTGGCTATGGCACAAATGTGACCTCTCCTGCTCAGTATTACAAGGGAAGTTCAAGGAAACCCCCAGCTCTGAATAGCTTTATTCTTGGGCTCTTCCTCTCTCCAAAAACACCTGGAAGCTGGGTATGTGTGGCCATTGCTACTCTCTGACTAAGGCTTCATGAGGAGAGGTTAATACATCCCAGACTTAAGTGAAATGGGAGAATGGTTCCCAGAGGAGAATTGATAAAAATATGAGTCCTACACAGGACAGGAATGCAGAAAACAGGGTAATTTTCTCTGGAGGAAATGCAATTTTCCTGCAAATATAACTGAGTCACAACCACCCCTTGCTAGTCAGCAGATGCCCACCGTGTGTGTATGTACTGATGCTGTCTGTCATCGTGCCCTAGCTAATGTGGTAAAATTCTGCCCTGGTCAAAGGTGAGCAATACTTTCACACCTCAATCCTAAGGAGAACTGAAGATCTACTTAAGATTAATGGTTATAGTCTGATTTATGTAATTCATATAACCCTTTTCTTAGGGAGGGAAATCCTGAGTTATTGCCAGCCCTGGACCTTTTCTGTGATCCTGTTTGGACGCTGCTTTCTCTTACACTGTACCTCCAAATGAACATAGGATTCCTTCTTACAGATACTGTATTGTATACCCCTAACCTGCCAATACCCTCTTCTCTTCTAGAGACAGCCTCCAACAGATCATCCAGGCCAGTGGCCAACAGTCTCCTTATCCAGTAGCCAAGGGAAGGGATGCACAAAGGCAAAGGCTCACCGCTCACTAAGTATCCAGTGGCCTTGGATTTGATCTCCTCACTCAGCTGCCCTGTCTTGTTCAGATAGTCCAGGACGTAGATGTTGGGTGCAAACAGGACCATGTTCTGCTCCCCACAGCCAAAGGGCATCTGGAGGAGCTGGTGCAGGTTCTGCATGGCAGTGCCCATGATGTCACCTGGGCAATGGGACAATTCACAGTGTAAATTGGCCATTAGACTGAGCAGAGGCTGAAGTGTCAGTGTTTCAAAATAGCATGTGACACTTTGAGGAGGTTTCACTTACCGAGCACTGAGAAATATGCTCTGGCTGAGCCATCCACCACAGTCTCTGGGAGAGCCAAGGAGACTGTCTGCGACACTGACTCTTCTGGGATAAAAAGCACATTAATTTGGTTACACTTCCAGATGTATCTACAATGCATGGATAGCAGCTATCCATGGGTGAGACAACTGAATAAGAGTTTCCTGACTTCAACAAATCCATTAATCTGTAATTTTGTTGATGAAGTTTCCATCCTGCAAATTTTGTATTGGGCCTGCAACACCCTCACACACAGGTTGTCATGGACTTCTATATCACACCATCAACCAATTTTCACAACATTAACTGACAAATACACCTTTTCCAGCCTATTTTTCTAGCCTTTTCTGCTTTGGTGGGCAGACTTGGCTTACTGCAGAATCCTGTTTTTGATTTAACATCTGTTAAATGAGAGGCATTAGAGATAACCATATCAAATCCCAAATACTCTCTCCTTGCTTTGACCTGGCCAGCCTCTTTTCCTAAAAGATGTGCTTCTCCCTATCTAATTGTAGACATTGTTGTATACATCCTCAGCTCCTCTTCTACAGGAAGAATTGTTTTCACTAGCAGTTGGATGTATATCTAGTTTGTTCAATTTTATCTGATCCCTAAATTTCTTCTTAGAGTGGAGCACCCACAAACCTTTTATTTCCCCTTTGTCTTTAGTTTTTACCTCAGCAAAGAAAGTTTTGGAAAACAAATGGCTCTTACCAGATGGACAGAGCACAGAGTTGTATGTGGTTTCCACTTCAGTCCCTTCCGGCTTGGGGAAAATGGCAAGGAAAAAAAGAAGAAAAAAGGTGAGAAACAACACCAACAAAGAAAAGGAAGAAATGTCAAACGGGAAAGTAAAAGGCATTATTTGAAAATTGCATAGAAATATTTCTCCTCCATGTGCTAAACTGAGGATAATTAAGGACTGCAACATACTGTCTAATTACAAATATGAAATGTAATAAATTTTCTTTTCTTTTATATTAATGAGAGAGGCCCTGCAGCTTCACAGGTTGTGGTGGAGATAATATGCAAGGTGATGTTATCAACAGAGACCTGGTCATCCAAGTTGCCACTCACTGTGGTCCAGTATAGCAGAGCTCTCCAGGCTGTGGTGAGGGCTGAGTGCCTGGCACACTGGGAGGATTTGTATGCAAGAACTTTGACTGGTGGCAGCTAGAGCACTCCAATGCACCTACAAGTGACGTGCTACAGCAACCAAAATATACATGCATGCCATAATCAATTGGTTTATAAGTCCTAGTCTAGTCTTTGAAGTCAGAAAAGAATTCCTCTTTTCTGTTGAGATGGGTGAAATTATTTGCAGAAAACTCAGGAATCAAATGTTTACTAGAAAACTGGTTTATGTCACAATTTATTTAAGTGTGATCCCTGCACCAATTTTTTAACCTCTAAATAGGAGAGTTCCCATTGTTTCACAAGTGGTTTCCAGCTTTTTCCAGATGATATTTTTTCCCCAGCATGTGAAATGGTGTTATTGTCTTCACTTTCTCATAATCAGAATACATTGTCTCTCATTCTTCAGTATGAAAAGACAGAAAAGTATTAAAAGAGCAGGAAAAAAAACCAAAATAAAAAAAGAAAAAGTTTTTTTTGGATAAACTGTGACAGAGCTAAATGCTTTTGTTTGAAAAGGCACCATCTTGTTTGTTTCAGTATGTCATTCTGACATGCAACTAAATGAGAAATCCATTGTTTTGTTTGATTTCCAGCAGGAAATGCAAATGAATGTACAGACTTTAATTGTTTGAAAGATTTTCCTTTCCAGATGAGAAATTCCTGGGTGAAAAAAATCCCTTTTCCCAAAGGGCTCTCAATGAGGCTTGGTTTCTCCAGGGGCAGGAAGATGCCCTGGGGCCTCTGGCACACTCACTTCTCCCTCTCTGGGATGCACTGCCTGCTGCAGGGAACACTGCCATCCATGTGCTCAAGACAATGCAGCTTCACCCCAAGCATGTTACACTGAATCCATCCCTGCTAATTAATTATTCAGCCTTGGAAGCTAATCTCCAATTCCATCCTGTCAGGGCTTGCTGTAGATTAATTGCCACATTGCAATAACAGGATAGGATGAGCAATCTCTCAGACACCCTGACAGAAGTAAGTCTAATACTTGTTCAGTAATTTACATTCCCCTGCCACCTGTTAGAAAGAACTTCATAGTGCTCTATCTTCCTGTATCTTCAAAGAACTAAGCAAACAGTCTTTTTCCTGAAGGGGTATGTGAAATTAGGAAAATTTCCTGAAATGTTAAACAGTTGTTCATGTATTATACATTCAAATCCATTTGTTAAAAAAAAA